GCCGATAGCGCTTCATCGGCCGCGGAAGCGACAACTGCCAGTTAGGTGTTTTGTTACTAATGGTGAGGCAACCAATTTTTGGAGTCTTGGAAGTTTTGGGGCGTGCAGCTTTTTTCGTTGGTTGCCTTTTCGTTGGAGGTCTGGTGCTCGCTTATCTGCCGAGGATCTTTGGGCGCGTCAGAGTCTTGGCAGGCTTTGGGTGTTTCATTCTGCACACTTTCGCGGGCGTGTCCATGCACGGGACTATGCGCGAACATATACATGTTCGACTCGGAGGCTTTTGGAGTTTAACTGTCTGGGCGGGCTTATTCCTTTTTGGCGCTAGATCAGCTGGCGTGACCAGGAATGGGATTTGTGTAACGGGCTGCGCCAGCGGGTTTGGAAGGGTCAGGCGGTTCGACGGTGATGCATTGACGCTTAGAGTCTTGTGCGCGTTGAGGCGCTACTAGTTCTGCGCTCTGTAGGCACAACACACGCAGGGCGATGTGCGAAGATACCGCTTGCAGGCTGCGCGGCACAGGTTCAGAGCTTTGCCTCGCTTTGCGCGGTCCAAAGAGGAAGCGTGGCGCCCCGTTGTTAGCCCATAAAGCAACCTGTCGGCAAACTGCGGTGCTGCAAAACATTGGAGCGTAGGCGCGAGCGCGCTCGCCAGAGTTTGCCGGTGGCAGTTGAAGCGTGGGTGTCGTAGAATGTTGGAAGCGCTGTGGCGTTCCATGTTGTATTTTTGTGTTGTTGGAGTATACGTGCAGGGCCACACGCGGGACATACATACATACATACATAGAGACAGAGAGAGAGAGACACAAACAAACAAACTAACAAATAAGCAAACAAACAAACAAACAAAGAAACATACATACACACGTACATACATACAGACATACATACATACATACATATATACATACATAAATATTAGGTGAACGACTCTTGACATCTTTCCCCAAACCGAGAGTTTGTCACGAGTCATTAGATGACATGTTATTGGTATGTTTTTTCCGTTGTGAGACAGCACGATGGACCTCAGATGCACTGGGAAGATGTAACAACTGAAGCAGAAGCATCACCAGCAGTCCTCACGATAATCATGTCCACGCATCTTTTGCATCTCCAGCAGTCATCATGCTAATAATGTCCACGCATCTTTTGCATCACCAATGGGCTCTAATGCCACACTTGAAATGTATACTATAGATATGTAGAAAGAGATGATGACGACTACGTTGATGATGATGATATTGGTGACTAATCAGCACCAATGGGGTCTAGAAAGAGATGATGACAACTACGTTGATGATGATGATAGTATTGATTACTAAGCAGCATCGCCAGCTGTCCTCATGACAATCATGTCCATGTATCTTTTACATCACCAATGGGCTCTAACGCCACACTTGAAATATATACTATACAAAGACATGGTGACGACTACGTATCAGCATCACCAGCAGTCCTCATGATAATCATGTCCACGCATGATGATGATGATGATGGTGCTGATGATTACGATGATGATGATAAGGATATGAAAAAGATAAGGATCGTCATCATAGCCGTCGCCCATCATCGTCAGCATCACCGTTATCATCATCCATGATAACCATCCTCGTGCATCCTCTGCATCACCAACAGTCATGATGATAACGATGACTACGCACCCTCTGCATTTCCAATCTCATCATCACCGTTATCATCATCGATGATAACCATCATCGTGCATCCTCATCGATGATAACCATCATCGTGCATCCTCTGCATCACCAACAGTCAGGATGATAATGATGATTACGCATCCTCTGCATCTCCAATCGGCTCTAACGGCACTTTTGAATCGTGTATGAAAAAGATCAGGATCGTCATCATAGCCGTCGCCCATCATCGTCATCATCACAGTTCTCATCATCGATGATAACCATCATCGTGCATCCTCTGCATCACCAACAGTCATGATCTTTCTGCATCTCATATCATCACCGTTATCATCATCGATGATAACCATCATCGTGCATCCTCATTGATTAACCATCATCGTGCATCCTCTGCATCACCAACAGTCATGATGATAACGATGACTACGCAGAGGATGCGTATCGTCATCATTGACGATCATCATACGACTGTTGGTGATGCAGAGGATGCACATGATGGTTATCATCGATGATGATAACGGTGATGATGAGATTGGAGATGCAGAGGATGCATCGTCATCATTATCATCATGACTGTTGGTGATGCAGAGGATGCACGATGCTGGTTATCACCGATGATGATAACGGTGATGATGAGATTGGAGATGCAGAGGGCGCGTAGTCATCATTATCATCATCACTGTTGGTGATGCAGAGGATGCACGATGATGGTGACGAGGATGGGCGTCGCCCATCATCGTCATCATCACCTTTCTCATCATCGATGATAACCATCATCGTTTGTCCTCTGCATCACCAAGAGTCATGGTGATAATGACGACTACGCACCCTCTGCATCTCCAATCACATCATCACCGTTATCATCATCGATGATAACCATCATCGTGCACCCTCATCGATGATAACCATCATCGTGCATCCTCTGCATCACCAACAGTCATGATGATAACAATGACTACGCATCCTCTGCATCTCCAATCGGCTCTAACGGCACTTTTGAATCGTGTATGCAAATGATAAGGATCGTCATCATAGCCGTCGCCCATCATCGTCATCATCACCGTTATCATCATCGATGATAACCATCATCGTGCATCCTCTGCATCACCAACAGTGATGATGATAATGATGACTACGCACCCTCTGCATCTCCAATCTCATCATCACCGCTATCATCGTCGATGATAACCATCATCGTGCATCCTTTGCATCACCAACAGTCATGATGATAATGATGATTAAAGGATCGTCACCATAGCCGTCGCCCATCATCGTCATCGTCACCGTTATCATCATCGATGATAACCATCATCGTGCATGCTCTGCATCGCCAACAGTCATGATGATAATGATGACTACGCACCCTCTGCATGTCCAATCGGCTCTAACGGGACTTTTGAATCGTACATGAAAAAGATAAGGATGCTCATCATAGCCGTGGCCCAACATCGTCATCATCACCGTTCTCATCATCGATGATAACCATCATCGTGCATCCTCTGCATCGCCAACAGTCATGATGATAATGATGACTACGCACCCTCTGCATCTCCAATCGGCTCTAACGGGACTGTTGAATCGTATATGAGAAAGATAAGGATCGTCATCATAGCCGTCGCCCATCATCGTCAGCACCACCGTTATCATCATCAATGATAACCATCATCGTGCATGCTCTGCATCACCAACAGTCATGATGGTAATAATGACTACGCACCCTCTGCATTTCCAATCTCATCGATGATAACCATCATCGTGCATCCTCTGCATCACCAACAGTCATGAAATAATGATGACTACGCATCCTCTGCATCTCCAATCGGCTCTAACGGCACTTTTGAATCGCATATGAAAAAGATCAGGATCGTCATCATAGCCGTCGCCCATCATCGTCATCATCACCGTTCTCATCATCGATGATAACCATCATCGTGCATCCTCTGCATCACCAACAGTCATGATGATAACGATGACTACGCACCCTCTGCATCTCCAATCTCATCATCACCGTTATCATCGTCGATGATAACCATCATTGTGCATCCTCTGCATCACCAACAGTCATGATGATAATGATGATTAAAGGATCGTCATCATAGCAGTCGCCCATCATCGTCATCATCACCGTTATCACCATCGATGATAACCATCATCGTGCATCCTCTGCATCGCCAACAGTCATGATGATAATGATGACTACGCACCCTCTGCATCTCCAATCGGCTCTAACGGGACTTTTGAATCGTATATGAAAAAGATAAGGATCCTCATCATAGCCGTGGCCCATCATCGTCATCATCACCGTTATCATCATCGATGATAACCATCATCGTGCATCCTCTGCATCGCCAACAGTCATGATGATAATGATGACTACGCACCCTCTGCATCTCCAATCGGCTCTAACGGGACTTTTGAATCGTGTATGAAAAGACAAGGATCGTCATCATAGCCGTCGCCCATCATCGTCAGCATCACCGTTATCATCATCGATGATAACCATCATCGTGCATGCTCTGCATCCATGACTACGCACCCTCTGCATTTCCAGTCCCATCATCATCGTTTTCATCATCGATGATAACCATCATCGTGCATCCTCATCGATGATAACCATCATCGTGCATCCTCTGCATCACCAACAGTCATGATGATAATGATGACTACGCATCCTCTGCATCTCCAATCGGCTCTAACGGCGCTTTTGAATCGTACATGAAAAAGATAAGGATCGTCATCATAGCCGTCGCCCATCATCGTCATCATCACCGTTCTCATCATCGACGATAACCATCATCGTGCATCCTCTGCATCACCAACAGTCATGATGATAACGATGACTACGCACCCTCTGCATCTCCAATCTCATCATCACCGTTATCATCATCGATGATAACCATCATCGTGCATCCTCATTGATGATAACCATCATCGTGCATCCTCTGCATCACCAACAGTCATGATGATAACGATGACTACGCATCCTCTGCATCTCATTATGATAATGATATAACTATCATCGTAGCATCCTCTGCATCTCCAATGGTGATGGTAACTATCATCGTGGCAACGCATCCGCAGCACCCTTCCCGTGCGCCTCCCCCTTTCAGGAGCAGGGGTCGGCGGATTCAATTGTAGTTCTAAGTTTTAAACTCACGTGCTTCAAGTTGCAATTTTTAGTTGAGTGATTTAATTTCCGGTGGGCTGAGCTGCCTGCAGTGAAACTGTTTGTTGAAAGTGGTGAAGGGGCTAGCTTTGCATCCGTTTGGGCTTCAACGACCACCTGTTTCTTGGCTTCCAAATCCACTAGATTTCCCGGCAGAGTAAATGTGAGGGCGCTGCCCACGTCAGGTGGTAAAGGTCCATGGCGCTTGGCCTGCCCACGCGCAGCCCGTGGCCTCTTTGGCCAACTCCCCAGCGTCAGGGTTCGAGGGCGCAAATGCATCAATCGCTTGGAACAAGTCGTTTGTTTCATTTGAGTAAGACCCCACCACTTATGCCCCCCCGCTGTGGGATTTCAAAGCGTGCGTACGGCTTTCTCCGTGCCTACACGTGTTGTTCACACGTGTTGCCCGCGCAAAGTCTGGCTCCTTGTCCGCATGGCAAATTTGGAAGAGCGCAGTCAACACGATAGTTGCAAGGGTTCTTGGTGCGTGTGATCGACATGGACCAAAGTTTCTGACACGGTGCTGGCTTTCGGAAACCTCAAAACGTGAAAAGGCGCTTTGCCCCCCAGCTGCGCAGACGCTACGAGGTGAAGAAGCTTACTACAGGAAATCGGTTGGGCGCTGGGGTCGCGAAAGCCCTTCCAATCTGAAAGCGTTGGTCCCGGTTTTGGGCTCCGGCCACCATGAAAAACTATGGGTGCTTTGCCGTAAAGTTTTGCTGTAAGCACCCTAATGCCATGACGCTTGAATATTTTGTCTCACAAGCAGCCTATGCTCCAGGTCATTACCGGCAGCCCGCCAGCTCTCGTGACTGTGGATACAGCCAAGGAGGTGAAGGCAGGCAAACGTTTTGTTCAGAAGAGCTTGAAGGCGTGTTGCTTGGTTCGTCGGCAGGTCGGGCAGATTTGTTCACCTTTCTGCAAGGCAAGTCTGCGCAAAAGCCGCCCATTTCTAAGAACTTGACCGATCCTTGACTGACTTTCCTTGCGTGACATGAGGCCCTAGTCATGTTGACCGCTCAGCGTTCAAGGCAACGCGTCACACGCAGCCTTTCGATAAGGAACGCGGAACTGCAGACTCAACGCAGGCCAGGGATTGTTTTTGGATTGGTAGGAGCTTACGGCGAAAGAACTTCGAAAGCGACAGCCGGAGGTGTGGTGCACCTCTGGGGACATCTGGGGCCACTTCTCCCTGCGGCGCCCTGGCGCCGGATTCGCCTGGGTGGCCAGCAGTTTCTGGGCCCCCAGTTGGCCCTTCTGCCATGTTTTTTTCCTGGTTCAACACACTCAATTGCTTGAAATCAGAGCAGAGAGGGCTGTTTTTTCCGGCAACGCCGCAAAAGGGTAGTTTGTACGATAACTTGCGCGAGATAAGCTGCGCAATATACCGCTCCCAAGAGAAATGCGCGGGAGAAATTGCAAAAGCTGGCGTAACATAAATGGCATCAAATCGCACAGAGAAACGCGACAAGGAAACGTACACATACCGATTGCGCAAAGATAATCACGCAAGCCAACTTACGCGAGAAAGCGTGCGCAAGAGAAACGGGGAGAGAGAACCTTTTTTTTGGCAGTTTTGCGACAGAATTCGCGCAAGACAAGTTGCGCAACGCAGAGCGCACTGACCCGAAAGAACTTGCGCGTGAGACATTGTACGTGCGAAGGCTTAGCGGGAGCAAAACTTGCACGAGAGAAATTTACGCCCTCTGCGGACTAGCGAAGCCCGCAACGTATTTAGGCGCACGTCGATGCACAAAGCAAGCAGAAAACGCTACTTAACGCGCGACCTTCTGCGTGGATTGTGCGTGCCCACGGGAAAAATCGAACGTGCAACTTTGGCTTTTCGCTTGCCCTCTGCGAGGCTCGCTTTTCGATGGGCTGGGGCGGTTCTTTACTTTTCGCCCGCTTTGGAAGCCAGCAGCGCCAGCGCCAAAGCTGGAAAGCCCCATCCTTCCAGGGAGCGTCGGCAGATTGCTGACGCAGAAGGACTCAGAGGGATCATTCAGCGAGATGGTGCAAAAAGAGCGCTTAGAAGTAACTTCCGTAGTACGAAAACCAATTGAAGGGTAGCTAGCTTCAGCACATCAGACAGTCCGGGCGAAAAGATAGCTTTCGCAGATAGTCTATGGAAGACGCAACGGCCTACGCAGATAGTTTTGCGGACAGGAAAGAGGAAGAAAAAGCGAATGTTTTGGAATTTTGCGGCGACCTGCAAACTGAACGAAGCATCTCTTTCTATCGCCAAAGCTCATCTATGCAAGGGCAGCGTGCTTTCTTTCTTAGACCATCCATGCGGGCTGACAGGCCCCAGTGCCTGACCAAATATCAACGCAACGCGCGGGGTGACGCAGCAAGTAGCGCCAGAACGGTGTCAGCGGCGAACTGCAAACCACGCGCCAAAAAATGCGAGTCGCAGACTGCGTGCATCAAGCTGCGCCCGGCAAGCTGCCCGCAGCAACTTGTGTGTGTGTGTGTGTGAAGCAAGCTGCCTGCCACAAGCAAACTGCCGGAAGCACAGTGTTTGCAACAGGTTGCCGGCAGCTGTTCTGCAGCAAGCGCGTTTTCTGCAGCCCCCCACCCCCGCAGCAGCACCCTGCAGCAAGTCGTCTGAAACGGCCTCCTGCAGCAAACCCTTGTTGCATCCTGCAAGCAGCCTGCTGCAAACTTAGCAGCCGGCTTGGGGGTGGTTTGCTGCAGCAGTCTGCCGCAGAACGCCTACTGCCGCCCACAGTCTTAGCTGCAGGCATTCTCCTTCAAGCAGTCTGTTGGAGGCTGCTGCGCGCAATCTGCTGCAAGTAGTCTCCCTCAAGCAGTCTGATGGAAACAGTCTGCTGCAGGGAGGCTCTTCATTCGGCTGCAGGCAATCCGCTGCAGGCAGTCTCCATCAAGCAGTCTGTTTGCCGTTAAAAGTCTGCAGACCCTCATGGGGGCTCCTAGCTGCCAGTCTGGCACGCGGTCTTGTTAGCAGTCTGCCAGGTTGGCAAGACAGGAAAATTGGAATCTGGCTCATGCCCGAGCGCTCTCCCCACGCCAGATCGGCGTACGAAACTGGAAGCTTGTGTTTTGAGATCTGTCAAGAAAGCTCGCGTGTTCAAAGAGGCTTCCCGCTTGCGGCTTGCAACTGACGGCCACCAGCAACCGTAAACAGCCTAGCTGCGACGCGAGCAAAGGAGCCAGCCGCTCGCCAACATTCCCGCACTTCTTTGAAGCCATCTGACTTTGAAAGCCCGCGTGTTTCACGGGTGCCTGCCCTTACAGCAATGCCAAAAATGGTAGGGCTGAAAGGGCACTGCGTTGGGAAACACCAACGCCGGACACGCTACGCGCAATCTAGGTGTCATGCTGATGTGATGACGCAGCTGTTTCGAAACAGGCTTCAAGACTTAGTTGGGCCAAGGCTGTGCAAGATCAGCTTTAACAGCTATCCCAAAACGCGTCCAAAGTGCGGGCTGCGCACTAAAACGCCCTATGCCGCAAGCCAAGAGACGCCTCTAGCCTCCCCAGTTTGGAAAATGCCTATTTCCCTGCTTCCCAAGCAGAGCCTGAGCTGTTTTTGAGAGCTGTTTGGCCTTCCAGGAATGGAACGGAGGCGTGCGTTTTTTGCACATGACTTTGCGTTACAGGCGCAGCGCTTCTGCAAGGCCAGGTAAAGGTTGCGTGGCAGTCACTGCACTTTCGCACGGTCAGGTGTAGACTTTGTGGCAGGCGCAATACATTCACAAGGCCAAACACAGCTTGCGAGGCAGACGCGGCGCTTTCACAAGGTCTGGAACACATTTCGTGGCAGGTGCAGCACTTTCACAAGGTGATGTACAGATTGCGGGGCAAGTTTCGCAAGCTCGATAGTTTTCTGGTAGGTAGCTACAGACAGACACAGAGAGAGAGAGGTATTGTTATATATATATAGAGGGAGAGGCGGAGATAGATAGATAGATAGACGGATAGTGAGTGAGGTGCTTTTGATAGAAGGTAGGCAGAGAGAGACAGAGAGAGGAAAGAAAGAAAGAAAGAAAGAAAGGACAGATAGAGAAAGAATGCATTTTAAGAACTTTTGCCCACCGGCTTCGCCGGCTCTACTGTTAGAGAAAGATGGCGCGAAGAAGTTGCGTGGAGGGATTGCCCAGCAAGATTCGCGCAGTGAGACTGCGCAGGGAAATTGCGCGAAGAGCCTGTGCAAAGAGATGTCCCAGGGAGTCGGCGAAGAAGCGCACCTCGCTTTACTTTGATGGGACGTTGGATCACAAGTCCGGGCATTCCATCGGGTGTTCCATTCGCGCGTCCCTTACGGGCTCCCTTGTTGAACATGTTTGAAGTGTGGATTTACAGGCGGGTCTATCGCGTGTCCAACATAACTCGGAAAATTTGTTGACTCGCTTGTAGCTCTGACGCAAAGCAGTGACAGACCAAAGCCCGGACAGGTTGTAGGTCATGATGGTGGAAGCTTTGTGTCTGCGCAACTGACGATTTCATGCCGGTGCTATTGTTTGCGTCCGCCTCTGAAAAGTGTGTCCATCATGAACAACATTGAAATCAGGCACTGGTTTGTCGGGCAAGCCATGTGTGCGTGCGTGTAGTGCCTGGAAAAGCACAGGTGGTGCGCGTCAGTCAACGCTTGTTTTACTGAGTCGCCGGACGTGCTGCGTCCCAAGGCGGGCTGATGAGACAGCAGCAGGGCACTTAGCGCAGCGCACCCACCTTGTTAAATTTGCACGGGCCTCGGCAACATTGGGCAGAGCCACGCAGGAGGTATCAGTTCTGCCAGGGCTGCCTAAAATGTTTAATCTGGAGCCGGCTAGCGAGCAGTCCAGATCAGCGCTTGGTTTGCAGCGGTACAGGATGAACAGTTGCGACTCAGAGTTAGATACCCGCATTGCTAGCAGCGGCTTTCAAGTCCAATAGATGCTGATGGCGTAAAACCATGCCTGCGCGCGTATTTCGATGTCATGCATACATTTTCACGCATATCAGGGGCACGAGCCTGTCAAAAATGGCCGGAGGACAGGGGCAGAGAATTGATTTCTAGGTAGGCGCACATGCCATTGAAAGCTGCGCCTGGGATGTTGAACGCTGTTCCTGGGCTGTTGGGCTACTGAAAGCGCCTGGCGCGTTGAAGGCTGCCCCGGGAGTGGGATGTTGATAGCGTTGTCTTGGCTAGCCTGGCCTGGGCAGTTGAAGGCAATGTTTGGGACGGTGGCTGGGCAGTTGCCTGGTTGGGCGGTTGCTGTTGACAGCTCTGCTTGGGAGGCTGCGAAGGAGCTGCGAAGCTGCGCCAGGATGTTGACACCTGCCTCAGCGCGCGCTAGAGCGCGCTCTCTGCGCTTTCGGACAAAGCCGCGTGTAAGGCCCCACGGCCGGAAGCAGATTCTTGAGTGCGCAAGCAGTTTTCCAAGGGTGTGCTGGCAAATCTGTGCTGGCAAATCTGCTTATGTCCCGCGGCCAGTAGCAGATTTGGCGCACACAGGCGGCGTTTCCACAGGATTAGCTTGTGGTAACAGAGCCGGGCCCCCGCAAGGGCGCATTAGGGCATGGTTGGCGTGGTGGCGCTTCTGCGCAGCACGGCTCTGCGGAAACGACGCCATCTGCCACCGGCCCCAGGGCGTCGCGCGCCCTGTGATCAGCGGATTTGACCGAAAACTGGCAGCGCGAGCGTGATTTGAAATCAGCGTTATCTTGGATATCTTGCGGCTGGTTCGCTGGATCGCGGCCGGATCGCAACCGGATGGTGCCGGATTGCGACCGGATCTTGCCCTGATGTTGCTGGATGGCGGGCGGACGTGACTGGATCAGCCAGATCGTGGCCGGATGTTGGCCAAGCCGCGGCTGGATCCCACACACGGTCACAGATAGCGTTGCGTTGGCGAGTTGGGTTCGGCGCGTGACGCAAAAGTGAGGGTGGACATGAATTGCCCATGTGCATTTTCCAGGCGCGAATGTGGAGGGTGACCTCGAAAGCGCGCATGTGCATCTTCCAAGTCCCACGCCCCATGGTAGTTGGTCCAATGGACGTTCTGAGGTTTGGCCTCCGCCCCATGTCCTGGCGACCCAGATGGCGCTTATCCGGATCGCCAAGGCCATGCCGAAAGTTGAACCCTGTGACGAGGTGCCCTGTTTCCGATTGACCCCGCTGCAAAATGAGGAAGTGAAGGCTTGTAGAAAGAGCGTGAAAACTTGCGCGTGTAGCTGAAATTGGTCAACAATAGGTTGGATGCCCAAAGCAAGATGCAACATCATCAGCAGCACTCATGGGGGCCTATGATTTGTTTGGAGGCACCAGGGCAAATCGCAAGCTGTTAATGTCCAACCATGACGTTCCTCCAGCCCAAGGCTGTCGCGTTGAAGTGAAAGGCTGACCTGCTCAAATTTTCTCAGGAAACGCAAAGGAAACCATCCGTGCGCAGTGCGAGTGCAAGGGCCTGTGCGGGCGGATGGGCTTCCACATCTCCAAATCGGAGAAGCTCCTCGCGCAGAGGCCTTCTGGGGCCCTAGAACCAAGGCCCAAAACCGTGGGCCGTTCCAGTGCCCAGGTGATTCTTGACATGTGAGGCTTCCCAATTTCTGGGTTGCCCATCATGGCTTCTCACTGGCGCACCGTGCCAACATTGGACACGTCTTCTGCCAAGTGGTGCAGTGGCACACTTCCCCAGCCGCTTCAACTTTGCGGCTTCCCGTTCTCTTTTTTGCACGTTACCAATGCTCTTGACCAATCCATTGTACTTGCAGTGTTCAGCTTCTGCAGCTTGTTCTTCATTTAGACAAAGAGTGGCCAGGCAGCACAGTGCAAATGCAATTGAAGCTAGTTTGCCCTGGGCTGCTCTTGAGCTTCCCCCTCCCTCGAATCCGACAAGATGCACCCAGCGTAAACACATTCTTCCTCAACGGTTTACACAGAAACAAAAATGGTGAGCTGCGGGCTGCGAAGGTATGCTTCGAGCCCAACCGTTACACATTCCATTCTTCTGCGGGACTTTGCTGCGCGTACTTTTGTACTTCAAACATGCAGTTTTCAAACGCTAGCTGCGCGTGCTACTTTTGTACTGCAAAAACTTGCAGTGTTCGAGCTCCAGCTGCGGATGTGCGAATCGCGTGCGAGATTCGTACTTAGATATCACACCCCGAAAGGTTCGACAGTGACTTTCACTCGAAGACACCATAATGTTCGAGTTTGACTTTGAAGTTGTCATGTGTGTGGTTTTCATAGTCAAGTTGCGCTGGTGTTTGGCATGCGTGTTGAGTAGGTGTGCTTTGACACAGTCAACTTACGCTGGTGTAGGGAAAATGTTTAGTGCGCGGCACCAACGCGTCACAGGTACAACCCCCGTAGCCGAGTGAGTTGAGCGCTCGCAGTCGGGCCGCGCGTCAGGGCCATGCCCAAGCGCAGCGCGCAACGAGGAGCTGCGGGGCTGTTCGCAGCGCCCGGCTACAGGTTTGGGGCCCCCCTTTTGGTAGCCAAAGGGAGGCTAAGGCGGAACCAATTCGCTTTGGGGGCCACGAATGTGAGAAGCGCCAATTTTCCGGTGAGATGCCAAAGAATCAACACGCAGAGAGCAAAACCTTGAATCAGTCTACAATTTGGTTCGCCTTGCAGCATGAGTCCCTGCCAGCTCAAGAAACAGGACCCGAGACCCAGAACTTAGGTGCAAATATTTGATGCTCTAGAATCAGCAGGGAAACCTAGGAGACGAAGTCCATCCTTTTTGGAAACAGGTCGGACACGGAGTGATTGAGGCCATCTTTGGCAGGCAGCTTGCGGCCTCATGACACGTCGGGCCGTCTGAGATCCCAGATTCCGAAACCAAGACACGGGCGATTTTTTTGAGGGTGCCCTCGGCAGTTTTGCGTCCCACTATTTTGACACACACACACATAGCGGCCTGTGAAGAATGATTAGGTTGGTTTGTTGGGCCAGGCCTTACAGCTGCGGAACGTCGCCAGCAGGCCAGAGTCATGTCTGAAACTTGCCAGATCCACAACGTCGGCCTTTTCGGAATTACGTTTGGCTGCTGGGATCGCGAATCTTAGAGCATTAGTTTGCCGCTTGTGTCTTTGAAATTACCAACACAGCTTTCGCGACTTGCTGAACTGAGCATGCTGGAAAGAGGTGGCCCTCAGCAATTGATTGCCCCCACAGCGACTTGAGGCTGACGTCGTTTGAGGGATGCACCCCCACACAAGCTGTGCTAACTGTGGGAGTTTGGATACCATCACCGAAGCGCAGTTGGCAGTCAGAAGACTAGTCAGTGAGTACAAAGTAGGGTCTTCTTCTGTGTCCGGAAGCTGAACTTGTTGACAACGCTAGCGCCCTGCAGCGCCCTGCGCATCGTAGACTGCGCCCAAGAAGTCCCGAAGCCCAAGACGCAACTATCTGATGTCACGCGTGCAAAGCCCACTTCTAGGCAGAGAGAATGGCAGCGAAAAACGGGTTTGTAGACACAGGTCGAAACCTCCAGCGTCATAGAAAAGGTTGAGCCAATACAAAGCGGCTTTTAGCCGTCGCACTGCGCTATGGGCAAAAATTGTCGACTTGTGGCCATGATGAAACACAGCGCAGCTTTATTTCAGCTGTCAAGCTCATGGCGGAGAGGTAGACAGAACTCGGGTCAGATCGCTCGGGCGTGGGAACTCGGACGCTGCGCAGATTTCGCAGCGCCGTGCGGAGAAGCAACGGCAGGACGGGCTTTGCCATGCCGCGCAGAGATTGGGTTCTTCTTCTTTTTGGCCCAGTGCTAAACAATGCTTGGTTCTTCTCCTTCTCGAACTCTGGTTTTAAAATGTTTCCCACCAAAGGCCTCAAAATTCTGGCTCAGAGTTTCCAAGGTGGACATGTTTCAAGGAGCTTTGGCTGAGCTTCCAGCCCCCAGGCTTGAACCATTGCTTTTGGCTACCTGTAGCTACGGCCAAGTGGGATTCGGGAAGCGGATAGGCGACAGAGCGTATATTCGACAGAGCGGATACATGTCGTGGCGCTTGCTAAAAGTTTGAGAATGCCAGCTGAAGAGGTTCCCTCTGAATCCACAAACCGTCAGCACCTGTCACCCCGGAGACCCAAAGTTATCATCACGAGACGCAGACTGGGCGCTTGGCAGGTTGCAGAAAGGGATGCCGCAATAGCGACAAAGGCGCGCATGCACAGGGGTAGAAGAGGAAACGTATTTGAAAAGGCAAGGCGATGGAAGTCGAAGCAATGGAGGCCCATGGCGGCACTTTGCGTGAATGTGTCCATAGTTCTTGGTTCAGATGCTCGCAAGGGAGCGGCAGCCGGGCAAGTCGAGAGGATGTGTCGCAGGAAGTTTCAATTTGCAGTAGAGAGTGAGAGACATTCGACCCAATGCTGCATGCTTTGTCTTGTTTCAGTATTTTGGAGTTGCGTATGGCTAATGTAATTTGTTTTTGGGGTTATGAGTTTGAACAAGGGACCCTTTGGTGGACATAAGTTAGGCGGGGGTTCATGTCATCATGTCCACCAATCACTTCAATAGGTGGTTCCCTATGAAAATTTGTTAAACTTGAGGTGTAAACCTGAAGTGTAAGTGAGTCAGCCCGGCAATGTAGCGCTCCTTTTGTACTGGTGCAGCGCGGTAGGCTCAAGGCCTTGATTTAGAGCAATGTAGCGGGCGCCACATGTACTGCGCATAGAAGTCAGGTATTTTAACAGGATTATACTAGTCCTCTAGCACACCTTGAAATGTGCCGAGGCTGTAGTGTATATGACCTCACAGTTGGGATGGTGTAAGTCACCTTGCAAGAAACTGCTCGCCAAAAATGCATGGTCACTGTACAACAACGTCTCTTGCAGCCGAGCGATGTACCCAAATCTGATGTAATCTAAGGACAATGCAAACCAGAAAAGTTAATGCTTGATGCATTTGTACCCCACGCTGTGCCTTCCACCAGATGTGTGCCAAAGCAAAACTGTACCGAAATCCGGTGCGTCGCTAGGACTGACCCAAGCTGCGTAGCATCCTCCCGACTGCTGTTGCAAGACCACGTCCGTGTTGCGTCGCGCCTGTGCACTGTCCGCGTTTCTTACCAACTGTAACGCGATGTTCGACCATGTAATCCCTGATGCAGAGCGGCTCAGGTAGCCCCAGTGTAGCGTGGTCGATCTGTCCCAGTCCCATTGTTGCACGGGTCCTGCGCTGGAGCTTTCAACACCTGTTGTGCCTCAATGGCTGCAGATGTAAACCAAACCATTGCCCAATGCACAAATGCAAAATGTCACGCAAGAAGGCGTTCCAGATGTAAAACCTATACAGGGGTTGTAAACACGAGGGGTCGGTCCTATCTACCCGAAAAAGTATCTATGCCGGCTGATTTCATTGTGAAACAAACATGTGTGTACTGCGCAACCGTTGTTTAACATACTGCGCACACTGTGTGAAACTGGTCTTTGTGGCCTCACAGGCCTACTGTGCACATTGTCTTCTGACTTGACCCTGTGAACTGTGTTGGTTTTGCTCCTGACAGGTTGTTGAAGGAAGAGATGTCGCAGCTCAACGCGCTTAGCTTGCTTGATGTACCTTCTCTCATTGAGATTGGTTTGGCTGCGCTGCTGTTTGTGTGTGTTCTGATGTTGGTGCGTACCTTAGCAGTTCCTTGATCCAGTTGTGGATGTAGAGGCTTTCCTGCGCTGCTGTACCAACCGCGTACAGTTCTGACTTTGCTGATGAAAGCGCCACGCGCTATGTCCATAGCGCGTTGCTGCCCCGAAGAAAGGTGGCACAAATCCTGTTGTTTTTTTTCTTGTTGTCTCGCATGATGCCCAGTTGGCACCTGCGCATGTGTCGATGTTGAGTGGGGTTCTTGTCCTGTATCTGCATCTTTGGTCGCAGGGTGTCTCGATTGTATCTTGTGCCTTCAAGGTACCTTGCCATGTGTTTGGGCTTCTTGTTGTCAAACTGTGTTGGTGCTTGTTGTGATCTTGCTAGTTTCTCCGTCCCATAGCTGATGTCCAGTCTTGTGTGCTAGCCGCTGTGTCTTGCCAACAAGCCGCCTGTATTGCGGTGCCTCATTCTTCTTCTGTGCCTTTCACGCGTGACACTCCTTGTGATGGTGCTGGGTTGCGTGCAGCCATTCCTGGTTCTTCCAGGGCAATATCAACGTATTTGTTGTTCAAGCTGATGTCGATGTAGGTGCCTTTTTGTGAAATGTTCCTGCCAAGGAAATGTTCTGTTGTTCCTACGTTGAAGTCGCCTGTGTGTCTCAGCAGGGCTTCTTTTTGCATTCTGCTCAACAGTGTGTCAATGATGCTCTGTACTCCTATGAATGGGAGATCGTCTACATAGATCATGATGTAGACTAGGCAGTCTTTTGATCTGTAGACATTGCTTTCTGTTGTGCGTCTCACAAGTTTAAGTGTGACTGTGAGGATGTGCGCTATTCGGTCTTGCCACTGATTTGGTGATGATCTTAAGGCGTAGATGGCTTTGTTTTTCAGCCGCCGCATGATGTGTCTGTTTGCTTCATTGTAGAACTCTTGCGCTGGCCTCGTTCCCAAGTTGTAGGAGATCGCTGCTGCGTGGAGGAATGCAGCACTGACATCCCCTGTACACACCGACGAGTTGCACACTAATGCCATTGTCAGTATGCGAAACAGTGGTATATTTGCGAGTTCTGTGTAGCCTTCTGCTACAATTCGTTCGTCGTGAGAACTCCTCTTGGTTCAGCAATGTTTGCGTGTTGTTCTGGTGTCACGTTGTTGCCATCAATCTCTGTAAAGACTGATTGGTCTCTCATTTGTTGTACTTCTTTCTTCACCAGTTGTCTGCCATCTCTTGATGTGAATCTGATGGCATTGATTCTCATCTTGCCTTTTGGTTGTTCTGCTGTTGTACGTCGCTCCAACGCTTGTCTTTCTGCTGTTGTGCGTTGTTGCTTGCCTGTGCTGCCTTCTGCAATTGTGTCATCTCTTTCTCCTGTGGATGATCTAGGCGGTGGTGCTGGCATGGTTGGCCTCTTCTGAGGTGTTGGTGATGTAACCATTGATGATGTTGGCTCAGTTGTCTTCTTCTGCTTTTCTTATTGTTCACTGTTGCGCTGCGCTCTGTCTCTTACCTTCTGCCGCTGTGCTTGCTGCTGCATCCTTCTGCGGCGTAGGTGACTTGCTTGTTGCTGGTGCTGCCACTGGTGTTGGAATCGGCGTAGGCGGTGCCGATGCTGGTGTCTTCCATTGGCCTGTGTTCACACAGTCCAGTAGTTGTCGGGTGTACTTGCGCGGTGTTTTCTGCCTTCTGCTTGTCCATGCTCTGACGATCCTGTTGTAAATCCTAATGATGCGTTCGCCTGTGGTTGTTTCCTTGCCAAGCCAGGTTCCTGCAAAGAACCTTGGCTCGAGTTTTGGCAATTGTCCGACTGTAGGCACCATGTGCTGCGCTGCCTCACCAAACTCGCAAAGTGGTGTGTGTGTCGCTCTCTGTTTCATCTGTTGAAGTGGCCTGTGCATCCATTGCTGTGGATGGCATATCCGTTCGTGATGTGTGCGCTGTGGTTGTATGGCCATGATCATCCCAGATTGGATGTCAGTTTCTGTGAGGTTTGCATGTATGTTGGTATCATCAAAGCCTTTGATGTAGCCGAAGCCGAGCTGTACAATTGGAAGGTTTCTGTGTTGCTTTGGGTGGTTGTTCTGTCTGCCTCTTGCTTCTACACATATTGAACACCAATTTCTGCAAGGAAGGTGTGTCACATTGTGCTCCAGTATTTCTTGTGGTGTTGGCTGCTTTGGCGCGTGTGCTACCTTTGCTTTTGTGCCTTGTTGTTGTTCCTCATCATCTGGCTCGAGTTGTGTGGCAAATTCCTGATGTTCCTCGAAGTTTGTCCAGCCTGTCCAGGGACTGTCTGATGTCTTTGCTGGCTGTGTTGTCCGTTCGATTCTACAGGCTTTATGTTGCTCTTGTTTCCTACGGGTTGTACCTTTGTCTGTCTCCAAGGTGTAAGCCGCTTGATGTCTGGCCGTCATGTGTCTGCTCCGGTATGTAAAATGCTTTGCGTGGCTCGATGTGTACTCTCCTCCAGTATGGGCTCTCTCTGTGCCAGAAGCCCCTTCTGTGGTGCGCTCTTTGGTTGTGTCTTTGTTGTAAGCTGTTGCTGTTGTTCCTTCTCTGATCCAGAAAACTGTTTCTCCTTTTCACACCTGTTGCTGTGCTCTGTTTGGAACATCCACTGTTTGACGTTTGTCTTCAAACGTGTTCGTTATACCGTCCTTGAATCTGATGGTTGTTCTTCTGTAGTCCTCAAGTTGTTCTGTTGGAACTGGACACTGCGTTCTTGCTGGTGTGAGGAGAGTCTTCCTGTACTGTGTGTGTGTGTGCTCTTGCTGTGCCTTTTGGTGTGAGACTTGTTGTCGGTGCTAGCACGCCAAGCTGTGGGCTGTGTGTCTGTAGCTTTGTTCCTTTGGGTAACGCAGTGATTTCTGCTTGTAGTAAGCACAGTCCGTCTCTGTCCTGCAGTGTGCTGTTGAATCCTTTGCGGTGTTGTTGTCGCGGATTGTCATCCAATGTAAGTTGGAAAGCTTGCCCCACCAGCCTTGTAACGGAACAACTTGGCTGTTTAACCTCACAAACGTAGAAAGGTGTGACAATCTGTTGTCCGCTGTGGTTTGTCATGCAAACCTATCTGTGCCCGAAGAGCTTGATGTGTTGGTTGGTTGCTGTTCTCAGTCGTGGTCCTAACCCATGCTCAAGTTGCTGTAGTGGGAGCTGTGTCGCGAACCATGGTGGGCATATGTGTAGCCGCACCACTGTCAATCATAAGGCTGACCCATTTGTTGTCTTCTGTGAGCTGCTGCGCTGTGCCAATCATGGCAACTTTTACTTCTTGCAATCCTGAGACGGGCGCTGCTGATGAATCGGCTGGTCGCGGGGTAGTTCTAGTTGTTGCACCTGTGTTTGACCCTGGTGCTACTTGACTGTACCAGTCATTTGTATTGTCATTGGCGTCATCCTTCTCCTTTGCCGCATCCTTGTTGTCCTTGGAATGGATGTGTTTGTCCAACCGTCTCATTGTGCCGCTTGCCTTTTCCTTTGTAGTTGTTGTAGTGGTAGTTGTTCCCATAGCCCCCATAGCCTTTGCCTTTGTTGTACTTTCCTTTGCCCTTGCGCTTGCCTTTCTTTTCTTTGCC